TTAACTTGTTTTTTTTTGGAAAACTTAATGGAACAAAATGGGTACCAAACTTCAATTTTTCACTGCCTTTTACTCGCAAACTGATGAGCAAATAGAAGTTGTGAATAGGAGTTTTGGAAACCTCTTAAGGACTTCGATGGGAGAACATATTAGAGATTGCCTCTCCAAACTTCCTATAGTTGAGTTCACTTACAACAATTATGTTAATCGAACCACAGGTCTAAGTCCCATTGAAATTGTGTACGGATACCAACCTAGGCAGCTTATAGATTTGATCCCTATGTATCCTAAGTTAAGAGCATATGAATCTGCATTTGCATTTGCATCAAATCTCCATGAATTGCATAAGGAAATTAATAAAAAATTGAATAAACAATGCTAATTATAAACTTAATGTGGATATTAAGAAAAGATTTAAATAATTCAAGGTTGGAGATTTTGTAATGGTACGGATTCGTCCATAGCGGTTCTCATAAGGGACCGTTAAAAAGTTGCATGCTCCCATAAGGGACCATTAAAAAGTTGCATGCTAGAAGTGCATGACCTTTTAAAATAATTTAAAAAATAAATAATAATGCTTATGTGCTAGACTTTCCTGAAGGTTTTAACATGAATCTTATGTTTAACTTCGAAGATCTAGTAGCCTTTGATGGACCAGAGTTTAATCCCACAAATCCACTAAATATTGAGCCTTGTGTGACCTTACCTGGTGAGAATCCTAGCCTACTCTTAAATATCCATACTTTATCTAATGCGAAGAAAATTGAAGGAATACATAGTAATGAAATCATCTCCACTAACGATGGTGAGCGCCAAAGGTATTTAGTTTAATGGAAAGGGGAACCGGAGACGGAGAACACATGGATAGATCGTGATGAGCTACAAAGATTGGACCCTGATCTTTTAGAGCTGTACGAGAGTTCCCGAGGCATTTGCTCAACGAGATCTAGCTTTCTCCCATCGAGGGAGAATGATGAGGATATCAGTAGGAAATTTTGACGCGTCTACCATCGGAGGAATTGTAGATCGATGGCTACGATTCACAGTCTCTATTTATGGTGCATTTATGTATTTTTTATTTATATTTCAGTTTTGACCATTATACCCTTGTGAGGGTTTTCTTTTATGTTGTAGCCCTGAGGACATTTTAGTCTTTGATCTTCTTTATTTTGGAGGCTTATATAGTAAGGCCTTAGTCATTGTATTAGGGTTAATGATTGATTAATGAAAATTTCAATTTTTATTCTTCATCTCTTTGAAAGCACTTGAGAGAAGATAACACTAGGAGAGGGCCAAGCAATACCTATCAGCTGCCGGTAGAGACCGGGCTCGTGGTTCGTAACCGTTTTATTCCTCATTCCTCGTTTCTCTTCCTTACAACTGTCGACCACCTTGCCTTTAACCCCTACCGCTGGCCACCTGACCCCACTCCACCTCAAGTTGCCGGCCCCTCCTCCCATACCCTCAACCGTACGGCTCCCTAGCCTCACCGTCACCCCCTCCCTTCACCGAACCTAGCCCAGTTCTTCAAGCCGCCGTCCTACAAATCCCAAGCCCCAAGCCGTCGGCCTACCCATCCCCATCCCCTTGATTCCCCTTCAATCACCCCTTTTATTACTTTCCTAATTTAATCATTACTAATTTGGAAAGTTTCATAATTCAAATTTAAATGAATTTGAAATTTGTAATCTTTCCTAATTTGCCTACACCTATTTAGGAAGCTCCCCTGATTGATTTCAATCCGAAATTAATAATGATTTAATGCCAAATCCTACATTCATTGTATTTAGACCATTCATTGAATGTAGACACTTCCCAAATCCCTTCCCTCTATTGCTCATGGATGTACCCCTCCCTCTCTCCATTCTTAATTAAATTCCTTACACTTATTGCCCCAATCAAGGCCCCATCTAGGTGGTCTGCCGCCTCCCTCTCCCCCAATTAGTGGGAATTCAAAATTTAAATATTCCCTCCTTTTCCACTTACAAAAATCTGAAATTAAATTCATATTTTAATTGATTACATCCTCTCCACATAAACTAAAAGCTGAAAATTCAAGAGGCCTCATCCTTTAGCCTTGGCCAAAATTCCTCACTCTCTCCTTCCCTCCTTTCTTCTCTTCTTCGCTACCTCATACACCTCCAAGGGTTAAGCTTCGCAAATGGCCTCCTCTCGATGAATGGCCAATCCTGAAAGAGTCCATGGCTTCGTGTATGATCCTCAAGGATGAGTAGATATTTTTCGGTCTCCCTGCTTCAACCTCAACTTGGAGATTGACGACACCGTCGACTGGATCCTGTTCATCTTGACATCTGCTATCGAAGAACACCAAACCTTCGGACAGTGGCGAGTTATCGGACATCCTCCAATTTCTTCCTCTCCTACTAACTTTTCATTGGATAATACTGTAGGCGTTCTCTCTCTTTTGGTGGCATCTCTAGGTTTGTTGAAATTATTCCCCTGTTGACCCCACTATCAAGAATGAAAGCAAGGGGAACTCGAGGTGAACATTCTATTTGTTAAATGGTGAATTTTGTTATTTTTCATCTGGTGTTACTACAATTTTTTTTGTTCTTATTTTAAAATTTTCTTGTTAATCTTTCTGTAACTGCATGCCAAAGCACAACTGTAATTAGGAAATCCTAGACTCTTATCTTGGTGAAACATCGAGTTTAAAATTATCAAATCTTAGCAACTTATTATTAATTCTTAAGCAATTCCATTTTCTATATGTGTTCCACATCAGCTGGCCTCCCCTCCATTCTACTAGCTGTCGGTTCCCCCCTCCTCCTTACTAGCCACTGGCCTAAAGCCCTCCATCCTCTAAATCGCCGGCCTCAAGACCCTCCACCTCCTCCCTACTACTAGCCGCAAGCCTAAAACCCTCCACCTCCTCCATACTACTAGCCTCAGGCCTAAAACCCTCCATCCTCCCAACCACCGGCAACAAGCACACCCCCCCTCCCCCCTCTTCACTGCCACTAGTCAAACCCTAATCCTAGCCACCGCCCAACTCTAACCTAATCCAAGCCTCCGGCTGCCCCTAAACCTCAACTGCCGGCCAGTCACCCCTCCTCTGCCTCCAAAATTCAAATTCCCAAATTGATTACTTTTCATATGTGATGAATCTTAAAATATGAAAGTTTTAATTTTAGATTTCAATTTCAATTCGAATTTGAAATTCTTTCCTAAACTAGGAGTAGTTACATTAGGAAAGCCCCTCCCATCAAAGTCGTTTAAATTTTAATTTAATTTCAAAGGATAATTACATTAAAGCCTCTTCCTTAATTTAGATTGGCTTTGATTGGCAATCCCTTAATCCCCTCCCATATCCCCTTCCCCTATTGCCCCCCCCTCTCTCTCTCTCTCTCCTCTAATTAATAAGCCCATTAAAGCTCCCCAAATAAGCCATCAATTCCCCAATTATCTCCACCCTTTTGGTTGAAATTAATTTCAGAAATTTTGAATTTGCTTCCCTCCCAATTCAAATTCAAAACCTATAATTAAACCCCCCTCCTTCCCCTCCAAATCCTACTCTTATTTCTCTTTTCTTTTTCCTGCCAAATTAATCCCGCTCAACCTAAAGTTGCTGTTCAGAAATTTCAGCAACATAATCCTGCTGTCCCGCCTTCATTGATCACCCAATTTGCTGTCCGGACGATTTCAGGTCGATGTCTAGAAATTGCAGCAACTTCCCTCGCCGTCCTATTACCCGAAAGGACTCCGTTTGTTGTCCAGAAGTTCCAACACATTGAAATCTGCTGCCCCTCATGTATGGCAGATCCTGAACAAGATCATGTCTTCGTATTCGACGACCAAGGGTTCATCGACATCGTTCGATCTTCGTTCTTCGACATCTACTTTGCAAAAGACCAATTCGTTGAAGACTACGTAGAGAGGATCCTCTTCTCCCTCGTCATCGCTATTGACCAACAACTCCCTCCCGTCCAGTGGCGACTTGCTTCCGAATCCTAACAAAGGTGAACTTTCCTCCAAGTCTTTTCTCTTCTAAGTTTTCCCTTCATTGTGTCGTCATAAAGGTTATGTAAGTTCTCTCCTTTTTCACCAATCATTAAAAGAGTTGAGTGAGTGATTTCTTTTCATAGTGACTAGTCTAAATGTTAACATCGAGATTCCTTGTACTGCAAAGCTTGATTTAAAGAGATTATTTTGTGCTCCTACGCTTATCGTGTGACTGATTGCCTAATCTATTCATCTCTTTATTGTTTTAATTTTTCTTTTAAAATTACTAGATGTGGATAATTGCGGTTACTCTGCAATAAACATGTAATTTCCTACTTCAAATCAACCCACGCATTTTAGTCCTACATCATAAAGTATTAAAAATAATCTTTTTCTAGATAGCTTTAAATTATAATTTAACTAATAATATGACACAATGGATAAAATAGATTCATGTAGCCGTCCCCAAATATAGTGGGATAAAGGTGGGGGTGTTGTTGTAGTGGAAGTCATCTTCTTTTATCAGCATGAAGATTATTTTTTTCTTACTTAAAAAGTATTTTCATTCCTTGTTCTAATTCGTCATCATAATTTAATATTGACTTGTTTAATGCTATTGCTTTTGATAAACAATTGAAATGTTGGAAATTCATTTTATAGAAATTAAATTTAATTGCTTGCCAATTTTCTATATTTCTAATTACTCATTGAACTTCACGAAATTAATTTGATTATTTCGTTATCATTAGGTTTCATTCTAATATTACTTGTTTACATTAATAATTAATGAACTATTGTATCATTTGTGATATGTAAATCTTTTGTTTATTTTGTTTGGAATCATACTCTGCATCATATTAATTATATTAGGAGACTTTACTGCGGATTCATCCTGCATCATCACTAAGACATCTCACATCATATTAATTATATTAAGAAACCATAATCTCCTGTCATCCTGCATCAATTAATGCACCTTTTTAAAGTAACAATGCCATTGCGTTGATTTAACTGTGTAATTTTTTTGTTAACGACAGGTGGTTTATGGTGATACAGATTCTATTATGATCTATAGTGGGTTTGATGACATTTCTAAAGCTAAGGCAATTGCTGCAAAAGTCATTCAAGAGGTGAGGATTGTTTTTTAATTCTTGGTACCCAATTTTCTATGGATAACCATGAGAGAAGCCGCCAAAAGTCAGCTGTTATGGTATTTTATACTTTAAATACTGCAATAATTTTGGTTTTTGATGATGGAACTTAACTAGCTATTCCTGCTCAGGTTAATAAGAAATATCGCTGTCTAGAGATTGACCTTGATGGCTTATACAAAAGAATGCTTCTTCTTAAGAAGAAGAAATATGCTGCCGTTAAAGTACAATTTAGGGACGGAATAGCCTATGAGGTTGAAGTAAATGCAAATCATTTTCTTTATCAAGTATGGATCTCTCAATATTGCAAATAATGACAAAGTGGCTTTTGTTTCATGTTTCAGGTTATTGAACGCAAGGGTCTTGATATGGTTCGACGTGATTGGAGTCTGTTATCAAAAGAAATAGGTGATTTCTGTCTCGGCCAGATATTGTCTGGAGGGTAGGAACTTTAAAAAAATCATAAAATTCCTCTCACATAATTTAGCATCTCCTTTGAAACATTTCTTACATTTTCTATGTGAGATTTATTGACTTGTTAGATGCCCATCTAAAGGTACATTTTGGCTTTTTTAGTATTAGCATACTAGAAAATTTTTACACCCTTTATGAAATGGTGTCTAAATTCTACAGGACGTGTGATGACGTTGTGGAGTCAATTCATGGTTATCTAATGAAGGTCAAATATGTCTGAGACTTTTATTCTATCCAACTGAGTCTTCTCTTTCTTGTTCTTATCTCTGAAAACTAGTCACAAGCTCTAATTTCATTGATCTTTTCCTGCCATCTTTACTTATTTGTAGCATTTTGTACATAGGTGCAAGAGGAAATGAGGAAGGGAGAGGTTGCACTTGAAAAGTTTGTTATTACAAAGAGCTTAACAAAACCGCCTGAAGATTATCCTGATGCTAGGAACCAGCCGCATGTGCAGGTGGGCATTTTTATTCTGGGGTTTATGTTTGATTTATCTTTTAATTATTTTTCTTTATTTTCCCTACTTTTATCTTATGTAGGTGGCTCTAAGATTGAAGAAAAATGGTTACCCTTGTTGCTCGGCTGGTGACACAATCCCCTATGTTATTTGCTACCAGCAGGTATTGGCATTCTTAATATGCGAAAGATTTATGCTGTAAGGGTTGAACCTGAATCAATGTATTGAGCCCTCATGTGCAGGTTAACTTTACATTCTTAGACAAGATTTCTGGGTTATATCTGTAAATGAGCCAGCCATGCTCATTTGAACAAAGTTGCTGCTTTCTTTCGGAGTTATTTATTGCTCAGTTTTTTAGCGTAGTGCTTTATTGAATTTATTACATGGATATTACTTTTTTCTAAGTATGAGCACCTTTTTTGTAAACATTCAACTTGATTGCATCCACTATAAACAAAAAAAAAAAAGTGCATAATTAATTAACATCTTAAATTGACTTTCAGGATTAAACCTCGGGTTTTCAGTCTTCTCTGGCTTTTACAGTAGGTTTTATTTCCAATAGGCGCTGGCACCTATTATAATTAAAAGGAAATAATCTTTCGAATATATGCATCGAGCAGGTGCCCAATAGATTTTGCTGAGTAAACCATCTTTTAATCCCATAGTTTGTCCTCCATTGTCTATTTAGATTGATTTCTTGATATTTGGTTTGCAGTAAATCTTGATTGTAACATGTAGCCTTTTTGTTAGAAACCATCGTCCTCTTTGGCTAAGGAGCTTGCTACAAGTTAAAATTTTGTGATCTTTGTGTTTGATTTGTGTAGGAGCAATAATACCCAGAATATTAATTTAAATCAAGTAACGGTTTCCACTAAAATCTGTAACTACTATTACTAAATTATGTGTAAATTCTTTAGTAAAGCTCTATATTTTAATTGAAAATCGCATTTTATTTGAGATATATTATATATGCTTCATGTGGGTTTCTGAAAGGATTCTGCTTAGCGGGGAACATAATGCGAAGGGTACGATCGCATTATCCTGTATGACAAAACGGTCGTAAGCTTTTACACTCTACCCAAGCAGGCCAATCTAAGAGCAGTTGAGATCATATATACGATTAATCATGGAGGATAGCGGCTTTCACCTACACACCTCGATGGGTAATAATATATGACCTAATTAAAGTTACGAGATTTCCCTCATTCGATATATAAGCTTGAATGAGATTTATTTGATGTGGGGATCAGTTTCCCACGGGCGTAAGCCCCCATGGTTAAGGCTCTCCTAATCTAAAAGGAGATAGGCTCAATTAGGCTAAGCAACATACACGGATCATGTCATCATTCAGCCAGTAAGAAGAAGAGGAAACGGAAGAAAAAGATATTGCTCTTCAAGCATGCACGAGAGAAAGATGGAGTTGGTGTCATTCATGTGACGCGGATGGGTGAGATTTATAGCCTCTGATAGATAGAGAGCTTACCTACCGATAAGGCATACAACAATATGCCAATACTGCCAGTCTTAGATCCTAAATCTACAAGGGGCATAATACTATACATATAGTCCTAACATCCATGAGCTAACTTATGCAAATTAGACTTATATCTTGCCTGAAAAAGAAAGCCAGCTAAGTTACCTATCGTATAAAATCGATGTTGTCTAGTCTTCATAAAAGATAGGTGGTTGGTTAAGTTTTTGGAATTCAAGTCCGACGTTTAGAGAGATTCCTAAATTGTTTTGTACTTATGAATAATATTATGCATCTAAGACTAATGCAATTAAATTTTAATTTTAATTGATTTCTAATGTGATGCATGCTAATCAAAGTATTCAAATTGTGAATGCTTGAAATTTTAAAAAGGCTTATAAAAAATATTTTTTTAGAAGACTAGACTTCCCTAAGTTCAGCACTTCATCCTTATAAGTCGGATTATGTAAACTCTAACCGCAGGCAGGGAAGTGTTTAAACAAGGAATGAGAAAAGTACAATAATATGCATGCGACCCTGGACGACCTCGGGCTTATTCCTTAGGTCGTTATTTTTCTATATTATTTAATTTTAAAAATTTTAATTTATAATTGCGAGTAAAAAAATTTATTTCTAAGAGCCTAGCGAAATTCAGGCACATGCACATGCAAGAAAGAAACTTACAAAAAAACATGTTATTTCTACTGTGCAAATAAAGTAAACACATCATCAAAATAAAATACCAACCAGAGCATTAACTTTTGAAAGTTCTTGGCAAATGTCATATAATATATAACTCAGGGTCTAGAAAAGTAATGGTGGCCAAGCTCCACTGACAATAACCTGGATTCTAATCCTATGGAACGACGAAAATCTTAAAAACAAGATATTTTATCTTGATCTTCATATTCTGGCTCCTCTATTGGTCTACTTTTTTCAACTTCCTCATAGTATGTCCTCCAAAAGGATATCTAAATGAAAAGAAATTCTCTGTCAGGGATTTTCTTTTCTTTTTGGATCCCTTATAACAGCTCTATACTTTGAATAAAATTACATCAGAAATATAAAAGAAAAATCTACTCTCTTGCAATGTTAGCCTAAGCAGTTATAATTAAATATCCCAAGTAGTTATATATGAAAATAAAAATGCTCAAACCAACCACACTTGGCCATGCTCTTATTTATTTGGGGGCTAAGCAACTGAAACACTTGTAGCAATTATTTATTATTTATTTTTAGCCTCCTTTTAGTCCTATATAAGCATGGTCACCTGCAGAAAATATCGTAAATATCATTATCGCTCATAACCTATGGGTAATCTATCACACATCACAGTACATAAAGTAGATAATAATGTCACATGAATAATCACAAAAAGTTAACACAAACTATAAGTCAACCAACACACGTTTTACATACAAATCGCCACGTCATAGAAATAAAAAGAAAAAAAATACTGGTCTAACCTAATGTTAGAAGTCGTGTCCTAACAAATAGTTCTATATGTAGGCTATGCGGTTTTGGTGTATCCTTTGTTGGATATCTTATTTATTAAAAGCTAAAGGAAAATTTTAAATCAAGTTTAAGTATTAATGTTTTAAGATTGATTTTAAGAGTTTATTTTTAGTATTTAGTTGATTACTACCTTTGTTGCTTACTGAGGTCGTGAGATTTATTTCTCCCTCCTTGGGGCTAACTTAATTGCCTCGTAGGCTTGGGTTATCCAGTAGTAACCAATTTTTTTAAGTTAATTTATTTTGCTGAAATTAAAGAAAGGTGAATTAAATAATTTATTATCAATTTGGGAGATTAATGTAATTAAGTTTGCTATTAACTGGTTTGTGGCATTTGCAGCCAGGCTCGAGGACCAGGCCTCCTTTGGACATTTAGTCCCGCAGTCTGAAGTAGTCCATCCTAAAAATTAAGTTGATATAGTTATATTAAGAATTTTTATTTAGTTAAATCATTAACAATTAATTAATTATCGAGTTCGTTAAGTATGTGTTGATATGTCCTTGAACAATCAAGATCAAGATGTTCGGCGTTGACACAGTTTTCAATGTTAGCTTTAGCTTACTAAATGTAAATACATTTTCTGTGCATAGGTTTTGATGCAGAACCATCAAAGGATGATCTCATTGAAAAACTTTTACCACTTCCTTGTCAGATCTTGTCAGATTAGTTATTAGGTTTGTCGTAATTTTTTTTAATGTTTGATGCTAAATTTTATGCTTTTGATTATTTTAGTTATATTTGTTATGCTGGTCATACTTCTCGTTATTGGAATAGTTCTAATATGATTAAATTGGATTATATTTTATTCAATTTGAGACAAGGTATATTTCATCGGATTGTATTAGTCATTATTTGAAACTAATGCTAGTTCTTGTCTTTAAACTGAGAAGAGACAAAACTTGAGTTAATTCAGCCCATTTCGATCAATTTATGCTGGGGTATTTAGGACTGACACATAGCAAACCAAGTTATTTTGAATTAAATCAAGACTGAACCTGATTAAACTGTTGACCCATACGCTAAAGATGAGTGAAAATAGCAAAAATTGATGACTTAAGTGATGGTCGGCAGGCGCGACATGTATCTTAAGTGGTCAAGCGACCTCTGATCGTCAAACGGACTGTGCCGTTGCGATCAGAGCGTTGAATTTAACTAAGAGGGAGCCCCTCATAATCAAATCGGATGGAGACGGACAAAATCGGCGAACGACACCTAAAATCGATGCGCAATTGTAATTTCACTCAACGAAAATCGCGTATGAAAATAAGCGTGAATCCTGACACAGCGTCACATAAAATGAGATGTATTGACTATTTTAATGACTATTTCTCTCATTTTATCATTTTAATAATAATAACTTTATTATTATTTATAAGTGAATTAAAATAAAAAAGGGTACGGTACTTGTTCGGCTTCGATGCTGATGTCATCCAGGATTGGATGCATGTTATTATTTCCCCTATGTTAAATAATGCATGATTGAATGTGTATGATGATTCGGAGTACCAAATGGTAAAGGGCTATTCGGAGAAAATGATAAAGGGTTTTTCGGAGCAAATGATAAAGGGTTTCTCGGAACAAATGTTAAAGGGCTCTCTGTTGCAAATGGTAAAAGACTCTTCGGAGTAAATAAATGAAATGATGGAACACATTTAAATGTGTATCTGATCAGTACAAAAATGTTGGTACTTCTGGGACGAATGTATAAATCTTTGAATAAGTATTTTATACTTCTATGCATATAAGAAAATAAAGGAAAAGTAAAAAAAATGAAAAATGAGAAAGTTATGGTTATATGTAAATATTAAAGAAAAATGAGCATTCCAAATGTTATATGGAATATTGCATACTTAACACCAATTCTTGATATTTATGGTACTTTTTCCTAAAGTGATTTAAGTATTGTCATATGAAAATTTCATGCATAATGTCTTCTTTTTTTTTGCTTTATGAGTTTAATAGAAACATTTATTACCTGCTGAGCGTTAGCTCATCCCTGGTTGTGGGAATACTTTTTGGGAGAACCTGTTACGTACCATTGTAGAGTAGTGCGAGGAGATAAGTTCTTATGGTTATTATATATCTTGTGATGGACTAAGTTATGATTTATATATTATGGGTTACTTAAAAAAATAAAAAATAAAAAAATATAAAAAATATATTATGGTTTACTTGTA